TCCTCTCTGCCTCCTCCTCCTTCTCCGCGCTACTCCAACCCATTCTGCCCTCTCTGCCGCACGACGTGCCTCCTACTCCTCTTCCCCGCTGCCTCCCCTTACTCCAACACCGTCTCCCCTCCGTCTCCTACCTCCTCCTCCTCCTGCGGGTCCAACCTACTCACCTACTCCAACACCTCTCCCCTCCTCCTCCTCCTCGCCGTGCATCACCTTCTCCCTCCTCTCCGCGTCCTCCTCCTCCCTCACCATCACCTTCTCTCCTCCTCTCCTCCTTCCTCCGCCCCCTCCTCGCCTCCATGACTTCTTCATCGATCCTCCATCACTTCTCTGCTCCTCCTCTCTCCCTCCTCCTTTCTCGCTCCTCCCCCCTACTCCATTCACCTTTCTCCCCTCTCTTCCTCCTGCCCCTACTCTCCTCCTCCGATGACCGTCTTCATTCGATCTCCATTCACCGGGCTCCGCTCCGTCCTCCGTCCCGGCTCCTCCGCCTCCATCCTCCTCCTCCTCTCCTGCCCCCACTCCTCCTTCCACTGACGTCTGTCCATTCCGGATCTCCATCTCGAGCGGCAGCGTACCGTCTTTATCTGAACACACAGGGCCGTACATAATATTACATATATTGCCTGAGAGAGATAACAGTTCTGGTGACACTACACTTGTGTATGCATATACGTACCTCGGGTACATATCTGTAGTACCTGATACGACAACGACCCCTTCAGCATAAGTAACTAGTAACTATTTTGCCTAGTTTAGTAGTTACCAGTTCCCAATTCAATGTTGCATTTCGAGAGAAATAGACTGTGAGCCAACAACAATTGTAGCCACAACAAATAGGTTTTGCACCCACAGAAATCCTTAGAGCCACCACAAATAAAGTGTGGACCCACGTGTACATGAGGATCAAGTAGTGCTAGAACACTTCGCAAATAGTAGAGATTGTTTTTCATTCTTTCTAGCCCGGTGGATTGGTGGAAACACCTTTCTGCCCCAAACGCAACGCAAAGTCAAGTTATCTTTTTTTTTTAGCTATTTGCTATTACCATATTGTCACATTCAACACGTACATGGGAACTGGGAACTGGGAGCTAACGTCACTGACCCTAATATCTGCTCACGTCACATCTCCTTGTACACAGAAACAAAGCCATGGTTCATACAGGACTGAAATTTTTTCCAAGAACTTTTCAAGGACATTTTATCAGACATTTTATCGGAATTCATACAACATACCTGGATTAATTTAATAACCCCATTCTTAATCACTGCATGTCACCTCTAAAACTTACCTGGATCACATTAATAAACCCTTCTAAACACTGTCACTTCTACAACATACCTTGACTTACTGACTGATTTTACTGACTTACTGTAATTTGTGATCATCATTTAACTGTCTATCGTGTCTATAGCTTTTTAAGCTCATTTAACGCAATTTTTATTGAGGTTTGCACATTATTGATGGTAGAAAATTTCGTTTTATTACAGGCAAGGATTCTTTCTAAAAATTCAAGGACATTTTCATGAAATGCAATCACTTTTCAAGCACAAAATCAACATTTACTAAATTCAAGTACTTTTCAAGGACTCCCCTCAAATTCAAGTACTTTTCAAGGACTCCCCTCAAATTCAAGGACTTTTCAAGGACTGTGCGAACCATGAAAGCAACGCGCACACGCGCGTAAGCGCGTGCGCTTTCTCTCGCAACCACAACCAGATTCCTCCCCCCTACATCTCTCCTAACCTCCTATGTATATTAACCCCAAAACCCCTACATCCTGAGCGCACATGTCACCCGTTCTCCCAGACCGAGTCCTACCTCCATTTCACAATGACCCTAGAAACGCCCGACCTAAAACATGTTTACAATTCTCCCTATAACATCAATCTAGCCGCACAAGATGCGCGAGGCTCTGTCTACATAGACGACCACTAAAACAACCCCTAGTCTAGCTCTGCTGACTAATTCATGCAACATCTGTAAATCATATGTTACACCACAATTTGCAATACATAATATCTTCAGTGCATGACACTTAAAGATGCTTGAAACCACAATTTTAATTTGAACAGAATGTTCTAAACAACTGTGAAAAGTCGTTTCACACAGTGCAAAACATCTGACAAACAAGTGCCGCAGAGCGACAGCGCTCAACTGACGTGTACTGTAGCCGGGTATTCTTCTGATGAACTCACTGGCAACCGAATCAAGTGCGCCCTCCCGCCACCGCGTTCGCGCATATATCTAGGATACTACTAATACAGATCTAAAATCTATGATAGCTAGGCTTTGCAATACCGGTAGTACAGTAATAAAGATATACAGCCTGTGTAACTTTAATGACTTCGCTATATTAACATGTTATCATGGATATGCGTCGAGCGCGAGCGCAGTGGTGGTGGTGGGGGAAGAGTGGGGGGAAGAGGCGGGTGGAGGGGGCTCTAATAGCAAAAGCAGTTGCTGCGAGATGGCGCATGCAAGTGTCATCAATAATCAAAGATGGCATCACCCTTCGTGCGTGATAACCTCACTCCATTGAGTTGCTGAAATCCAAGTATATTCAGGCAGGCGAGAATTTCGCTGAGCTGTGAGTTAACAGATCTGAATTGCAGGTTGCCAGGCAATAATTATGATTAGAATAGTGCCAGTTCACCCCCATGCGTGCGTAATCACTAATGGGCTGCCCCCATGTTTTTGCCTACCCACGCGAGCATTCAGGGTTCATTACAGTGTGCTAATACAGGGTGCTACTCAGGGTGCTAATACAGACTGCTTTAGAAAATAATATGATTTAAGGAGTGTAAACCTTGTTCAACAAACATTTGCCTTTGCAATTGAACTGTGCAACTGTAGCCTCACATCCACAATAGCAAAAGCAGTTCAGTCCTTTGTTAACAGTCAACAAATCCATGTTTAACCTTCCTCTTGAGGGTCAAAAGGTTATCCAACACTTATTCTTCGCATGTCAGCAGAAAGTACATTTTATGGTCCTTTCAATAAAGCCATAAAAATGGTAGGTCACCGCTGAAACAAAAAAGTTTTCCAATCGCTCTGTCAGACCATGTCCTCAGAAAATGTCTAAAATCTGCCCTGTGCCCCATTGACCTTTGACCTGTGACCTCCAATTTCGGCACAGTGATGGCTTTTCCTACCATGATGCTATACACCGACTATCACGAGCCTAGGTCGAGCCGTTTAGATTTGTGCCGCAATTCTGCATTTCCTCCCTATACCTTAAGTTAAGGAGGGAATGTTCCCCCTTCTTTTACCCCTCTTGACCTTTGACCCCCCAGCCTCGACATCCCAACTCGTTTTCGGATTACCCCCCCACGTCCCAAATATCGTGACCGTACGTTGAGCCGTTTAGATTTGTGCCCAACTGTTGACGGACGCACGGCTGGACGGATGCACGGACGCACGCTCATGTGATTCTACAAGCTGCATCTGACTATGTCAGATGAGCTAACAACTAGAACTTACCTTCAGTATGATCTCCTTTGTTTTGTACCAGTCTCCACGGCTCAGGGCTCCCTTTAGCTTCCAGTCATGCTTGCCATACAGGTTCGTGAAGATCCTGTCTTCATCAGTCAGAGACTTGTTGCTAAACATCTTAAGAGAAGCCATGTGTCTTGTCGCCATCACCTGGAATCAATATCCAGTCTCTTTACTCGTTTCACCATCCAAATTTAACACGAAATATTTGCATATATAGCAACAGGGCTCGACTCTCCTAACACTAAGTAAATCCCATGATCACAAGTTCATCTTGAAGTATGGATACTGGTACCTACATCAAACAGCTAGCTCTGAAAAACATGATCATTGTCGTTGTTCCAATTCTTAAGAAGCCTGTGTAATGGCTATATCCATTTAATTATTGTAATAAAAATTTCAGTGAAGTCATATGATATTACATGAACAACATTAAGTTTGTTTTATTCGACTGACGTACCATACAGGCTGGCTGACGACACAGCTGTTGCAGATTTGCAATGCTGTTCATGGCTGACAATGGATCCCACTGGTAATGCTGAAATGTCTCACCAAAAGACAGGCAGAAATGTAGTAATACAATTAACAAATATATATATAAACTATATGGATAACATAAACACTTTTATCACTAGTGCTAAGTGAGTAAACTCTCTCAATAACAAAACACTTGGTATATTAACATTAGCAATAACTGTCAACATTAACATTTAACGGCATGTACGAAAATTACAGTAATTTTTTCCCAGTAGTCATCTATTTTAGATCCCTGCGTTTAGAATCACTTGGGTCAAAATTATGTAAATTCGCTCTCTTTCAGCAGGGTTGAATGTTATGAATATGCATACTGGTTACTTTAAATACTTATCAAACCACTAATTGGTTGTGTTCCTTTTATGTAATTGGGAAATTAATGTGTGCAGCCTAGGTGAATTATGTTCTAGGTATCTATTTGGTCTGTAGTATCGTTTAATTACTTTTTTCCATGTTGATTGTGTATTAACTCACATTAGCAGCAAACAATCAGGATTCATGTTCCTGCAAAAGTCACTATAAAACAAGTTAACTAATTTTTGAGGGAAAGTAGGGAATCTTCTAAATACCAAAAGATGCCAATTGTTAAAATTTAAGGAAAAAAACTTGCCCCATTTAAAATGCAACGTAGTTGTTGGTCTAGATTTCTGGCTTAATCCGGCACATTTTTTATCAATGACACCTGTCAAGCACCACAAGTTTATACAGATGGGACAGGGAAACCAAAGGGCGTAATAAGACGAAACAGGAAGCTCCCAACAATGATTAGCAAAAGCGTAGTGTGAGGCTCTCAGTAGATGCTGTTTCTAACAATAACTCGAGTACTTGACCATCCTACAACACGAAATTAGTGTCAGACAATAACACTAATGAACCTACTCTTCACCTTTACATGGTTGCCAGCTACACAATGAGTAGCACAGACAAGTTTCAATAATAAATTGATGGTAAATAAACACGAAATCTATTTACTACCAAGGTCTTAATGTTTCTCTATTCTCTTTCACCTAGTATTAAGTATTACTACTGATAATTTGCTGTAAATGCTGTTCAAATGATCCCCTGCACTAGCTCCAAGAAACGGTATCGCTAGGGTTAGGATACCGTTTCAAACCGTGGCTGCAGCTAAACACGTAGTTGCCTTATATTCCAAGTATCGCCAAAGAACACCACACATGTGATATACCAAATGAATCAGTAAACGTCCACCTTCTTGTAACCATCAGTGCGCTACGATGCGCTGGGTACTTACGGGGTTACAGCAACTTTTTGAGACGAATGCAACCAAATTTATGAATTTGCCACCATGTTTGCTATCATTCCGACTGTGACTAAAATCCGCAATGGATCGAACAAAGGAAATTAAACGATCTGCGGTCGTCATGTAAACCACCCCTACATCCGAGAACATGTCATCTAAGGTTTTTTACAAATGGCCCACACATTTCTGAACATCGTTTCACTTGCTTTGGTGTGTAATTGCCTTGAGAGCCATCGTACTATTTCTGTAGTATTTTCTAGCGAGTCTATTCCGTTTCGGGTTTTCCGTGCCTTGCTAAACATGGCGGTTAAAGCTGATTTGAAAGTTGATATGCTGTGAGAATTAGCAGATTATACCGTGAATTAAGAGATACATTCTAGTTTAGAAGCAGGACAACTGTGAGTTAACGTTCATATTTTAAACAAGGCAAGTCAAAGGTGGTAATGGAATAGTTTTATTTGAGATATACAGAGTTATTCATCTCGATCTGCAGAGGTGATAGGTTTTTTGTATGGAAGGGTGTCAGGCTGTATAGACAATCCGTCGCACAGCCTGGTCGGGCTACCCCTGCACCAAATAAGTACACCACATGCACGCCGCTGTGCACAGACAACAAAATTAACAAAACAAATAACTCTACAAGTATGTTTATTGTACACAGCAGCAGGCGCGCGATGTACTTTTGTGTTGCAGAGGAGCATTTGAACGTTTTTTGGAGGTTATTATTGGTAATAGTCGGCGCATTATAGTAGAGAAACATTAAGACTTTGGTAGTAAATACATTTCGTGTTTATTTACCATCAATTTGTTATTGAAACGTTCTAAGTGCCTATGCCTATGGGCCAACGGCCAGCCTTTCGGCTCAAGCACTTGACTTGAAGTTGACAGTGTCAGTGCCTAGTCAAGGTTACATAATTTATATATAGCAATGCATCAATAATACACTGTTTTTCTTCTATATTTACTGTTAAATATATTTGCTCGTCGTTATATTGTTATATTAAAACTAGGTAAAATAGATGAGATTAATATTCAAAGGGTGTCATTGCGTCGGAAACGCCAACCAAGACAAGCTGGAAACTGGAAATCGTCATCACTAAGTTGTAGTTGTAAGGTGTAAATATCACGAACACGGGCCGCTTCCTGCATATAACAGCTCGATTATTGGCAACAGAATATAGTGCTTCGTCCACACACAAAATGACAAAACTTCTTTTGATTGTCAAAGGTTATAAGGCATTCCATAAATATTAATTACCAGTGGCAGTAGATTACCAAGAACTAAAATACCTATCTTCGTTCGCGACACACAAGTGAACATCTACCGTAGGCTGTGGTTTCACTACCAGAGGGCACTGAAGTAGAAACAATTGGCACTAATGTTTTGGCACTAATCAAAAAATTGTGATTTTTAGTTTATATTCATTGTATTATTTGTAATCGCTTGGTTACAATAATGGAAATTGTACGAGTCGTGGTGAAATCGGCAGCTGATATAACTGAGTATATTATTAATGGTGTTGGATCTGAGACACTTGAACAGTTAATCCCAAAAGGAGCTTTGCATACCACAATAAAAGATTTAAAACGCAGCCTTTCCAAACGCTATATTAAGGTAACAATTATGATGTGTTACTCAGTAGTTGTACTAGTCAGTAGTTTACTGTTTAGTGAATGTGGTTCTACAGTTATAATTATGACAACATTGTGAGCTTTGTGTTATATTGTACTCATAATTGTACTTGCTAACTTTTCAGAGTCTAACACTAACACTAACAGTGAGTAACGGCCGAAACTATACGCACGGCGGCCGTGTGGATAAGATTCAATATGGCTATACGCACGACGGCCGTGTGGCGAACTCAATATGGCCAAAGATCATATACAATAAGATGGGACAGCCGCTATGCTTGCCATACAGTTTCGATGTCCCACGCGCGACACCAGCGCCGACCAACGGCGAGTTAGGGTCCGCAGCTTACCAGCTGACTGCTAACAACAGTAGAATATATGCAGGCGACACTCAAATGGTGCTCGAGTGAAAGAAACAACATGATTTATTATAAATCGATGTTCAATTACATTTTTATCT